AAAAAAAAAAAAAAAAAAGAAACTGTAGAAGATAATTTTAAAAATACTTTTTCCTACTGTATTAGCCAGAAAATTTTTAGTTGTAATTTGGAGAAATGTAATTGAAAATATCTTTAACAAAGACTGAGGAAGGCTCCTGAGGGAGCCCGGAGTGCTGAAAGAGGAGAAAAGCTATACCTTGATGGAATCGGGATTGCCAGTTTTTCTGTCTCCAGCATGAATGCTTGGGATCAGAAAGATGGGTTCAAATCCCAGCTGTTAAGCCTTAATTTCATTATCGGTAAGGATACATTTAATAATTCAGTGTTGTATTAAATAAGGCGATTTAAGGCAATACATTTAAGAATAGCTCAGATTTCCTAATTCCATTACACTGGACATAGGAGTTTTTTTTTACTAATTACTGACATTCATATAAGCACCTTTAATCCAAGTAATTCAGGATACTAGGCGACTAAAGGAGTAGAAATCTTAACGTGTAAGAGCAAACTAAATGAAACAGCGAAAACAGACAAAACACTTTTTAGAAGTCCCTAAGTCAAATTAATTAGTTACATCCTGAGAACAACCTAGTTCAGCATTTACCTTGGCAAAGAAGTTACAAGTCCTGATCCATCCTGTACCAGTGCAATTCAATAGCTATTAAGTGAGCAAGTTATAAAAGACATAATTTCTCCCTTTGAAGAGGTACAGTCTAAGAGGGAGACAAGATAATATTAAAATGCAATGTGGGCTTGGTGTGGTGGCTCACACCTGTAATCCTAGCACTTTGGGAGGCCAAGGTGGGAGGACAGCTTGAGCTAAGGAGTTTGAGACCAGACTGGGCAACATAGTGAGACCTCATATCTACAAAAAAATTTTTAAATTAGGCTTGGAGGCGCACATCTGCAGTTCCTGCTACTTGGGGGGGCTGAGGCAAAGAGGATCACTTGAGCCTAGTAGGTCAAGGCTGCACTGAGCTGTGTTCACACCATTGCATTCCAGCCTGGGCAACAGAACAAGACCTTGGCTTAAAACAAACAAAACACAAATTGCAATGTGATTTTTTATGCATACAAGAATGTATTAAGCACTATGGAAACACAGATGAGGAAGCAGTTAAATTGGTGTAAGAGGAAGTTAAGAAGTGTTAAGGAGAGTTACTAAGGAAAGGTGACATTTAAGCCAGGCCTATAAGGAATGGGCAATCACCAGACAGAAGAGAGGATAGAAAAGCACATTTTAGGTAAAGGGAACAATAAGAAATACACTCGATGCCTAGAGACACTCAGGAAGAGACAGAAAATCTAAACCATCACAAATAATGCTCCAAAGAAAGGGCTCTTCTGAGAAAAAAGGCTGGTTTTCTGGACTCTGTGTGAGAGAAACCAACCTGCCATCTTTTGTTGGTAAAATAATTTAAAAATACAAGAATGATAATGAAAATTAGCTTTATTTATGTAATTTAGAAAAAATGATTGTAGTGTTAGAGTTTGTCAAATGTTTTCACTCTGAACAGTTTACAATAGTATTTATATACAAACATAATAAAATAGGTACATCACATTGCTCTTGCTTCAAAATGTTTTCTCAATTCTGACATGCCTCTATCACTTCGGTTTGTAATTTTTAACAGGGAAATGCTCTGTTTTGACATAGTGCTTGATTCACACAGTATAATACTGAAGTAGAAGGAGAATCAACAATCATGAACAGAGTTAAAAATATTTTTCAACCAATATGACTTTATCATTAATCTTTTTTCTATAATAAAATATGTTTCATGTTAAAAAAAATACTTGTATTCACCTGATGACCTAAATTTGCTGTACTAAATTTGGCATTTATATAAACCCATAGTTGATCTAAATACAATATAGATATGAACCTATATTAAAACTCATTGATACAAATGTTTGCCACAAATGAAAATGAACACAATTAGTAAGAACAAAGGTAAACGGAAAAATCCATTTGAAAAATAGTGGAGATGCCTTATTCTATTTAAAATGAGTAAAACTTCCATTTTCTGAACCCAATATAAACTAAACCAAAAGATGGTGAAAAACCATGATATAGATACCAAATCTTATGTCACACTGTAAGGCTGTAAATGATCTGTATTATTGTATACTGGATAATCCTAGACCAGGTTTCCTAAACAGTCCTCCAATCATTTTATCTTCTTGGAGAAATCGGAGAAAGTTTAATACAATTACTGAATAAGGCAGAATTTTTTTTTTTTTTTTTTGAGATGGAGTCTCACTCTGTTGCCCAGGGTGGAGTGCAGTGGCACAATCTCGGCTCACTGCAACCTCTGTCTCCCAGGTTCAAGCGATTCTCCTGCTTCAGCCTCCTGAGTAGCTGGGATTACAGGTGCGTGCCACCACACCCAGCTAATTTTTGTACTTTTAGTAGTACATGTTGGTTTCACCATGTTGGTCAGGCTGGTCTCGAACTCCTGACCTCGTGATCCAACTGCCTTGGCCTCCCAAAGTGCTGGAATTACAGGGGTGAGCCACCATACCTGGCCAAGGCAGATTTTAAATCAGCAACTGGGATACAATATTAGTGCAGACAATTTACGCTAGAGTCATATTTATATCTGTCACAGTATTAAGTATACCACATGTGTACGGACTGTTAGAAGAAATCCATTTCATTTTTAAAGCAGTAGATTGTTTAGTAAGTTTAGTTCTTTAGCACTTTCTTAAAATTCCTGGTAAGTTAGCTCCGTTGTCTTTTTAAATAGAAAAAACCAACCAACCAACCAACCAACCCACAAAACCCACGCACACACAAAAAAATGGTAAGTATGCTGTTACTTTGAAGAGTCACAGCTGTTTAAGGTAAAACAATCAACTAGACCTCCAAGGGCACTTGTGTCTAAAATGTCCCTTTTGTCCCCAAAGGAAATGATCAAGTATTATATTAAGGTGCTTACTATTCCAAATAATAATAATAATAATAATAATAATAATAACAACAACATCAGAGGAAACTGGTCTTTAGTTGGATGCTTGAGTTTTTTCCAGGACTCTTAGTATATTTAGATATTGGTATCTTGACTTTGACACTTTCCTGATTGCCCTTTATAGCGGCCTCAAGGCGGGCTTTTAGGGCTGGAGAAGAAGCCACTAAACTTTTAAAAACAGATGAATACTGAGGTCCAATCTGCATGAGATTTTGTAGAGCAAAGTCATGTAAATTTCTCATTATGGAAGTTGCTGATCCCAGAGCATTTTCATCCAAAAGGAAGGAAATGAGGATGGGCAAAAGACAGGCCACCAGCTGAGAGCCTAGAAAGTAAACAAATGATATAAGTTCAGGGACTTAAATGTTCCTAACATAAGGCTGCAAATGCCCCTCATCTGTATACATTTTTCCCCACTAGAGAAAACAATTCATCCAATCTCTTCTAAATTCATAATTATATCAATACTTGGGATTAACATGACACCTTTCAATGAATGTGAAATACAGATACGATGTGACTGAATGTTTTGCAATTTAAATAACAGTAAAGTTCTGACTTTTGTAGAGACTGAGTTAGTATGAATTTAGTGCTGACACTTACGATGGTGTTCTTCAGCGACAGTAACCAGTGTTTCTAAGACCTTTATGCCTTCTTGGAAGATCTGAAGCTCAGCAGTGTTTTCAGGTTTTCTCTTGTCTATTTCCTGTAGTTTTTCCATGATACAGGATGCTAAAGAGTAAATGTACGGGTAGGAAACAGCTGGATTTGGATACTGAAAGATGGAATGTAGGAGCTGGTAGGTCTTGATTTGCACCTAATCGGGTAAGAAAAGAACAGCAAATACTATAAATAAAATTTTAAAAAGTCCCTGATGACTCTTTGCTTTTTAAAGTAGCAAAGGTATTTAAATTTATTTCTAATTTATCTTTAATTCTGAAAGTCCAAGGGCCAACAGGTAATCAAATTTTTTTTTTTTTTTTTTTTGACGGAGTCTCGCTCTGTCGCCCAGGCTGGAGTGCAGTGGCCGGATCTCAGCTCACTGCAAGCTCCACCTCCTGGGTTCACACCATTCTCCTGCCTCAGCCTCCCGAGTAGCTGGGACTACAGGCGTCCGCCACCTCGCCCGGCTAGTTTTTTGTATTTTTTAGTAGAGACGGGGTTTCACCGGGTTAGCCAGGATGATCTCGATCTCCTGACCTTGTGATCCGCCCATCTTGGCCTCCCAAAGTGCTGGGATTATAGGCTTGAGCCACCGCGCCTGGCCAGGTAATCAAACTTCTATGCTAACAGTGGTTGTGACAGTTTGGAATGGGAAAGAAGCATATAGGTAAACAGGGAAGCAAAACTGAGTGGTTAATTTTTCTTCTTTTCTCTAATTCTCCTTTTCCCCCTCATGTCTTTATAATGTAAAACAAAAACACCACCAAAACCCCTCCTTTAACTTTTTTTTTTTGAGATGGACTCTTGATCCATTGCCCAGGCTGGAGTGCAGTGGTGCGATCTCGGCTCACTGCAGCCTCTGCCTCCTGAGTTCAAGCAATTTTCCTGTCTCAGCCTCCCGAGTAGCTGGGACTACAGGCGTTCGCCACCACACCCAGCTAATTTTTTGTATTTTTTGTAGAGAAGGGGTTTCACCTTGTTGGTCAGGCTGGTTTCGAACTCCTGACCTCAACTGATCCACCTGCCTTGGCCTCCTGAAGTGCTGGGATTACAGACATGAGCTGCCACACCCAGCCTCCTCCTTTAACATTTTTATGGGTAGAAAGCAAAACAAAACAAAAAAACACCCAAAACAAGAAAACACATATAACCTTGAAAGATATTTTGTTGATTTCAGAAAATGTTTTAGACAAAAATGATGTATTTGATGTTCAAATGTCATGGTCTGAGTGTTTCAAGGAACCACGTCTGGACCATATTAATTATGTGTCATCAGGCATCAGAGTCCCGACTTGGAGACTGCTATACAAAGCTGCTGCAGGCAGCAGGCAACAGGACAGAGGATAAAAGGAAATGACTATACATCAAATACATAAATCAACTTTTATTGAGTTAACTGTAATGGTGTTTTAATAATTATTTTTTCTGAGAGAAAATCTGGTTCCTATATCTTCAGGAGTAGATATATGTGTGATCACTGGCTATGAACTCACCTAGAGGCACATAAAAAATAGATTACTCAAGCAAATGAAGGGGACATAAAGGAATGGGATAAATTTGTGTGTATTGCTTTTGGAATGGGTCCTATTATTTCACATTCATATTACTGAAGGTATGTGCTCGAGTCTTTTTTTTTGAGACAGCGTCTGGCTGTGTCATCCAGGCTGGGGTGCAGTGGCATGATCTTGGAGCCTCAAGGTCCCAGGCTCGAGTGATCCTCCTGCCTCAGTCCCCCAGAGCAGCTGGGACTACAGGCCTGCGCCCCCACACCAGGCTAATTTTTGTGTTTTTTTGTAGAGATGCTTTCTCACCATGCTGCCCAGGCTGCTCTCGCACTTCTGGCCTCAAGCAATCTGCCCACCGCGTCCTCCCAAGTGCTGGATGGAATTACAGGCATGAGCCACAGTGCCTGGCCTCCCTTTCTCTCTTTTTTTTTAAAAAAATAAAATCCACTACAATATGCTACAAAGTATCTTATAAAAGTCCCTTATAAAGTTCTAGTGCTACATCAATCTTAAGATTCCTCTATCTCGAATTTAGTTTCTTAACATTTCCTCTTCTGCCACTATCCTCTACCCTTAGAGCTGAAGAACAAGACTTATTTGGCTTTGTCATTCCTGAAATAGAAATTAATCTGAAATCTGAAAATAAAAAATTTATAGTCTAATATTTCCTATTGGAGCGAACAAAATCACAAAGAAAATTTTGTAAAAGCCTAGCCATAGTCCTATTACATACATCTTTCCATTAAAAGACACTTACCATGGGATCTTTTATCTCAAGAGTAGCTTTAAATTTATCAATACAGCGCTTCTGAAGGCATGGGATGGTAGTTACTTCTGGACTGGTAGACAAAATAAACACTGTGATAGCGGTAAGTAGACTGACTTCATCAAGTTCTTGGTGTGTTTCATCAACTAAAGAGAAATGCTCTGTTAGAAACAGATCATATTTACTGCTTTATATACCTGTGTGAAGCTGTCTTCAGTTTGGTAGTAACAGTTTGGTGTACACAACAGATATAGACAATGAACACTGATTAAGAACCCTGGCAAATGTACATTTTAAGATGTGTATTATAAGTAATTCTAGAGCTAAGAACTACCAAAGTAATTATAATCTTTAAAGGTTAAGGCATCAGTAAATAAATATATATATTTACTAGGAATATATATTTATTAGTTGTGTGACTTTGGACATCTAACTCCATCTTCAGTTTCCTCATCTGTAAAAATGGGAATAACAACAGTACTCACATTGATAGGGTTATGAAGACTAAATGAGTTAATCCATGTGAAGCATTTAGAATAATGTGCTACACATGATGCTCAGTATATGCTACTTATCATGTTAATTACTTTTACTGTGAAGCAACACAGAAATGCTTGGACAATCATTTTCTCTTTGTTAAAGTATTTTGATAATACATGTATCAAGTGAAAATACTTTAGCACTTTACACATATGATTTCTCAAGAGTAGAGAAAAACCTGAAAACAGCTGTGTACCACAATCATTTGAAGGAATTTTCTATTAGAAGTAATCTACCTTTATTTTCCAGTCATACTCTCATTAAATAATTTTAATGAACCTGCTGTGGAAAAAAAAATCACTGTTATTCAAAAACGAAAGGTGTAGCAAATTCAAATATTTAAATTGTTTAAGAATGGGTTGTTACTTATGAAGAAATGACATACATAAGTAGTAGTTTTGGTCACATTCGTTCAACAAGTACTTAAGAAACATTGTATGCCAGCCCTTTTTTAGGCACGGAGAATACATGTTATAGAGAAGATACACTATAAACTGAGAAGCAAAGACTTTCAGCTAGTGATAAGGTCTAAGCATATAAAAATATATTAAAAAGCTGGCTGGGTGCGGTGGTTCATGCCTGTAATCCTAGCACTCTGGGAGGCTGAGGTGGGTGGATCACTTGAGGTCAGGAATTCGAGACCAGCCTGGTCAACATGGTGACGTCCCGTCTCTACTAAAAATACAAAAATTGGCCAGATGTGGTGGTGCATGACTGTAATCCCAGCTACTCGGGAGGCTGAGGCAGGAGAATCACTTGACACTGGGAGGCGGAGGTTGCAGTGAGCCGAGATTGCACCACTGCACTCCAGCCTGGGCTGCAAAGGGAGACTCCGTCTCAACAGAAAACAAAACAAAACAAAACAAAAACAAAAAAACACCACACGAAGAGCAGTGGTGTGTGTCTGTACTCGCAGCTACTTGAGACACTGAGGTGGGAGGACTGGTTGAGTCCACCAGAAGTTCGAGGCTGCAGTGCACAATGATTGTGCCTGTGAATAGACACTGCACTCCAGCCTGGGCAACACAGCAAGTCCCTGTCCCTTTAAACAAACAAACAGACAAACAAACAATATTCAAAGTAGCCCAGGACAGTCTATACTGAGAAAGCCTTGAGGAGATAATATCAGAGTTGACGATACTCAAGAGGCACAGTAGCAGTGAAAGCAAAATTTTATGGATGAATAGGATTTATTTTATAAAAGACATCGGAATGATTTTAAGGTAAAACAAGTACACAGTTAATATTTAACATTAACATGTAGCACTGCTATAAGCACTTTATACACATTAAATATTTAATCAACATAACAGCAACATGAGGTAGGTACTCATATCCCTTATTTTATGGACGAGAAACAGAAATGTAGTCATTTGTCCGAGTCACACAATTAGTAAGGCAGAAAGTTTGATTACAGAGAGTGTACTGTTAACTATAATGCTATACTGCTTCCCTTACAGCAAAGTTATTTTTAACCACCTATAGCAACTTGAAACTGCAACAGAGTCAGCTAATTTTTTTAGTAAAAATGTCTTTATTCTCAGTAAGATAAAGTTCTCCTGGGTTCCTTTTACCTTTTCTTCTAAAATCTCTTTATTCCTACTTTTACCTATGATAGATGCATAATTTGCTTAGCATTAGCCTATGAAAAGCCTGTGTGATAAGAACTGAGGCCTCTTGCCAATAGCCATATGAATGAGTCATCTTGGAAATGAATCCTCTAGCTGCAGCCCTGGCCAACACCTTAACAGTAATTTCATGAGAGAACCTAAGCTAGAACCACATAGCTAAACTGCTCCTAATCCTGGACCCATAGAAACTGTCAGATAATAAATGTTTGCTCTTTTAAGCCACTAAGTTTTGAGGCAATTTGTTAGGCAGCAAACATTTAACCTGTCATGATCAACTCCTTAATTTCTCTCAGTAGCTAGTCTAAATCCTGTCCTAGCCTAATTCCCTGATACACATCCAAAAACAAAAACAACAATAAAAAATACACAACCCATTTTTTTGTGTGTGTGTGATGAAAGAGGCAAGCTCATCATAACCCTCAACATGAATTATTATTATTATTTGTAGAGACAGTATCTTGCTATGTTGCCCACACTGGTTTGAACTCCTGGCCTCAAGCAGTCCTTTCGCCATGGCCTCCCAAAGTGCTGGGATTACAGGCGTGAGCCACACTGGCCAGCCCTCAACCTAAAAACTTGTAGCTATAATACTATTTTCTATCCTCACCTCCTGTTCTTTCCTCATATTGGCAGAGGTCAATCCTTTTAAATGTACTGTAAATTTTATTCCTTCTGCCTAGACAGGGATGCTGCTTTCCTTTCTAATACTTCTAACTCCAACCACATGTCCACCTCCTTTTTTTGCCCTGTAAGTATGAACTCATGCTTGAATGTCATCTTTAAAAAAAGTTATCCCTTGACCTTACACTTTCCATTTAGCTATTTCTCTTCTTCCTGTGAAGAGAAGCTATACCTGATCCTTCTCATTCCTTACACCTCTCATTTGTGCCTCAACACTGTGAGCTCTATCCCCCACACTGTTTGGCCTCTCTACAGTATTTTATAGTGCTGACCACTCCCTTTTTATTAAAAACTGGCTTCTGTAACTACATTATCTTCTGAATCTCCTCTCACCTTGCTTTTGCTCTTCTTGCTCCAGAAACTCAAGCTGGGTGATTTCAATTGTCCCATAGGTTACATTGACAACTCCCAAATACATATATAGTCCAGAAAGTATCTCTAGCCCAGACTACTTTCTTGAATTCCATACCTCTACCCATCTGTTCCATTTGACTATCCTCTAGGCATTTCAAAATCAACTCACTATCTTGTCCTAAAAACCCTCACTCGGTTATTTCTGTTAATCACATTTGAGTGTTCAAGTCATCCTACCCTTTCAACTGCTAAATCAAACTATCAGTAAGTTCTGTGGAAAACTGCTTAACATTTTACTTTTCACCATTCTACTCCTCTTTGTCCGTACTAACATTATCTTATCTCCTACAGTTTGGCTTTCTTCTTTACACTGCTGCCAAGAGTGAACCTTTAGAAACGCAAATCCAAGCACATTACTTTCCTTCTTAAAACCCTTTCAGCCGGACACAGTGGCTCATGCCTGTAATCCCAGCACTTTGGGAGGCTGAGGTGGGTGGATCACGAGGTCAGGAGTTTGAGACCAGCCTGACCAACATGGTGAAACCCTGTCTCTACTACAAATATGAAAAACAAAAATTAGCCAGGCCTGGTGGCGCGCACCTGTAATCCCAGCTACTCAGGAGGCTGAGGCAGGAGAATCGCTTGAACCCGGGAGGCGGAAGTTGCAGTGAGCTGAGATTGCACCATTGCACTCCAGCCTGGGCAACAGGGCGAGACTCCATCTCAAAAACAACAACAACAAAAAACCATTTCATGATTCCACATGCCTATTAAAGGCAGTCCAAATCGTGCCAAACACTCCATAATCTGGCCCCATGTACCATCCAACTTAATTTATTTCCCTACTAATTGCCATTTACCACTCTTACATACTCTTCCACCCAAATCCACACCCCCTCATTGTTCTACTTGCCTTCCTTAGCTATTTAATTCTCCAAGTTTTTGGTCAAACTGTTGTACCTAGAATCCATTTCTTTCTTTCTTTTTTTTCTTTTTTTTTGAGATTGCTCTGTCGCCCAGGCTGGAGTGCAGAGGTGCGATCTTGGCTCACACTACAATCTCCACCTCCCAGGTTCAAGCGATTCCTAGAATCCATTTCTATGATGTCCATGTGAAGAAAACTTTCTAATCCTTTAAGATGTTGACTCTTCTGAGAAGCCTTAATGGTGGATCCAGAGATGCACCACTGACATCCCCTTCAAGGGAAAATGTGCTGCCCAGCTGTGGGAAGCGTGATCAAGGGTCAGCTCCTTCTGGGTCAGCCTCAGCTAGAGATAGCTATCTTACCTGAGATCAAATCCTTCCTGGCACAGCCCACATTTGAAGGCCAGGTCATTTCTGTCATATGTTCAGACACTCTGATGGGCAATTTGGCTCCAGAGTTCCTCAGACGGATTTACTGAGATTTGTTGGGAAACTGTCACAGTTTGACTTCTTTTGCCCAATATTGCCTTCCCCTTTTCCCTCACAGATGTTGCTTCTTAATAAACTTCTTGCTCCCCAAACTCCCACTCAGTGAGTACTTTTAGAGAATCCTACTTGTGACACTCTGCCTGATTTCACTTAATCAGTACCAAGTACTCCCATTTAAATAAAAAAAAAACCAGTTATAATTTTTTTTTAATGTACTAGAAATGCAGTGATAATTAAGACATGACTATTGCCTTTGGGAAATTCTTAAGGTAATAATCACACCCAACAGCAATTTATAGGAGCCAGACTCCACTATATTCCCAACTTTGGGCAAAGTGGGTGGTCAATAAATGCTGATTTCAATTGAAAACATTTTATATGTAAAATGAAATACGGCAAATTGTGACATTTATAAACAAAACTGGGAAGGTAGGGAAAATGTATAATGTGTATAAAGACTTTTTATAATCACTACAACATACTATTGAGAAGAGAAATTTTTTTTTTTTTTTTTTTTTGAGACAGAGTCTCGCTTTGTCCCCCAGGCTGGAGTGCAGTGGTACGACCTTGGCTCACTGCAACCTCTGCCTCCCGGGTTCAAGCGATTCTCCTGCCTCAGCCTCCGGGGTAGCTAGTATTACAGGTGTGAGCTACCACACCCAGCAATAAACAAGTTTTAACAGATGTTGAAAATAATACTGGCTATCATTTATTGATATATGCCAGGTAATAAGTGAGATGCTTTTCACATATTAAGTTACTGCTCTAACAATTTCTTGCAACATAATATTCCTATTTATTAATAAGAAAACTAAGGTGCAGAAAAACTGAATAACTTGACTAGTCACTTAGTAAATGCTGGCATGGTGAACCAGATTGGTCTTTTTGTATGGCTTATGTACTTTTCAGTATACTGTGTGTATTAAAAACTTCCATTGGCTAGACATGGATCATACTCCATTATTTTTTTACTAAACACACTATTATATCTGAAGGTCTTTCACTGTCAACGTGTAGGTTGCCTGTCATTTAACAGCATTAAGGGTTAAAGATGCTAAAATCGGAACACAGCTTTTTAATTTTATTTTTTTGAGATAAGAGTCTTGTTCTGTCACCCAGGCTGGAGTGCAGTGGCACGATCTTGGCTCACTACAAGCTCTGCCTCCTGGGTTTAAGCAATTCTCCTGCCTCCTGCCTCAGCCTTCCGAGAGCTGGGATCACAGGCGTGCACTACCACACCTGGCTAATTTTTGTATTTTCAGTAGAGATGGGGTTTCTCCATGTTGGCCAGGCTGGCCTTGAACTCCTGACCTCAAGTGATCCACCAGCCTTGGCCTCCCAAAGTGCTGGGATTACAGATGTGAGCCACCGCGCCCGGCCCCAGAACACAGCTTTCTTTCTCTTTTTTTTTTTTTGAGACGGAGTCTCACTGTGTTGCCCAGGTTGGAGTGCAGTGGCGTGATCCTGGCTCCCTGCAACCTCCAGCTCCAGGGTTCAAGCAATTCTTCTGTCATAGCCGAGTAGCTGAGACAGCATTGGGTAGCTGGGATTATAGGCGTGTGCCACCAGACCCAGCTGGTTTTTGTATTTTTAGTAGAGATGGGGTTTCACCATGTTGCCCAGCTGGTCCCGAACTCCTGACCTCAGGTGATACACCTGCCTTGGCCTCCCAAAGTGCTGAGATTACAGGTGTGAGCCACTGCGCCTGGCCAATTTTCTATCTACTTATACGTATCCTCTAAACACATAGTATTGAATATGGTCTCTTCTAGGTGATATGGCCAAATAAAATCAAGTAAAATATCCTCAAAAAACTTTTTCTCGCTTTTTAAAACAAACTGAACTGCTTCCAAATAGCCTCAATTACCTGGATCCCAACAGTCAAGAACTGTTGTTAAAGCACTTCGGAGAAGGTCAGTCCAAGCAGTGTGGCTCTTTTCTGCCCGTGCCATGGGAGAAGATAAGATTCCTTTCAGAGCCTGTAGGGAAGCTGCAACCGTCGAAGATAACTGGCCCCCTGGTAACTTCACAGCAGTCTCTCTGAGGACCCCAATTGTGAGGTACAGTATAGTAGGAAGAATTGAGATGCTTCCTGTAAGATAAATTTTTTAAAAACACACTGCATTTCAACCTATGTATATATGGTTCCTAAAAACAAATCATCAAGGAGTAAGACAATATCAGATTTTTAGTTTTTAAAAGATGATTTCTAATAAAGAACTGTAACTGTTAAGATAATGAAAGTAGCTTTATTAAAATTTTTAAGGATGGATTAAATCTTGATGGTTATAACTGGAGATGATGTTTAAATTGTATGAGTATCATGCTTTTGCTGTTTTTGTTTTATTTGGCAGTTGATAAATGAACTTATTTTTATTTATCTTTTATTGTGGTAAAATATATACAACATAAAGTTTACCATTTTAACCATTTTTAGTGTATAATCCAGTGGCATTAAGTACATTCACAATGTTGCCTGGGCAACACAGTGAGACTTCATCTCTACAAAAAAAAAAAAAAAAAAAAAAAAAAAAAACTGGGACGGTGGTGTGCACCTTAGGAGGCTGAGGTGGGAGGACTGCTTGAGTCCAGGGGGTTGAGGCTGCAGTGAGCTGAGATTGTACCACTGAACTCCAGCCTGGGCATAGAGTGAGACCCTGTCTAAAAAAAAAAAACCAACCAAAAAAAAAATAATACCTTTAGCGGCTGAGTGCGGTGGCTCACGCCTGTAATCCCAGCACTTTGGGAGGCCAAGGCGGGTGGATCATGAGGTCAGGAGTTTGAGACCAGCCTGGCCAATATGGTGAAACCCGTCTCTACTAAAAATACAAAAATTAGCCAGGCGTGGTGGTGCGTGCCTGTAGTCCCAGACACTTGGGAGGCTGAAGCAGAAGAACTGCTTGAACCTGGGAGGCAGAGGTTGCAGTGAGCCCAGATCGTGCCACTGCACTCCAACCTGAGTGACACAGCCAGACTCCATTTCAAAAAACAAAAAACGAAAAAACACCTTTAGCAGAAATGTTTACCAATTAAGAAGTATCTACTAAGTACTAAATACCTATAATCTGCTAGATTTCACAGAATATACAATTTTAATTGGAAACAAAACATTTCTCTTTTTTTTTTTTTTGAGACGGAGTCTCACTCTGTTGCCCAGGCTGGAGTGCAGCGGCGCGATCTCGGCTCACTACAAGCTCCGCCTCCAGGGTTCACGTCACTCTCCTGCCTCAGCCTCCTGAGTAGCTGGGACTACAGGCGCCCACCACCACGCCCGGCTAAATTTTTGTATTTTTAATAGAGATGGGGTTTTACCATGTTAGCCAAGATGGTCTCGATCTCCTGACCTTGTGATCCACCTGCCTCAGCCTGGGATTACAGGCATGAGCCACCGCACCCGGCCGACATTTCTCTTTTATATGTAATACTCAATTACATATAATGCCTTTGTAGGACAGATAAAAGCTACAGACCGGCCGGGCGCGGTGGCTCAAGCCTGTAATCCCAGCACTTTGGGAGGCTGAGACGGGTGGATCACGAGGTCAGGAGATCGAGACCATCCTGGCTAACACGGTGAAACCCTGTCTCTACTAAAAAAATACAAAAAATTAGCCGGGTGAGGTGGCGGGCGCCTGTAGTCCCAGCTACTCGGGAGGCTGAGGCAGGAGACTGGCGTGAACCTGGGAGGCGGAGCTTGCAGTGAGCTGAGATCCAGCCACTGCACTCCAGCCTGGGCGACAGAGCCAGACTCCGTCTCAAAAAAAAAAAAAAAAAAGCTACAGACCTACATATGGAAATAACACATGCATATACATAAAAAAACAAAACTCAGATGAGCTAGAGTTTTTAGAGAAGCCTTTATACCTGAAGTAGGCCTGCAGTTGAACCATGAAGAAAGAAAAATTTTTAAAAGCAGATAAGGGTCATTTCGATCAAGTAATGACATGGTAGTACAGAACAAGGATGAACATGAAGCCTCTTGGGTTTAGGATTTGCAAAGAAGGAACTGAAAAAAGGTAACGACTTAGCAGAGCTACACAGAGAGCCTTAAATGCCATGTTAAAGAGTATGAACTTGCTGGGCATGGTGGCTCACACCTGTAGTCCCAGCACTTTGGGATGCCAAAGAGGGAGGATCACTTGAGGCCAGGAGGTCAAGACCAGCCTGGGCAACCCAGCAAGACCCCATCTCTACAAAAAATTAAAAAAAAAAAAGTTAGCCAGGTATGGTGGCACAGGCCTGAGTCCTAACTACTCAGGAGGCGAAGGCAGGAGGATTGCTTAAGCCCAGGAGTTTAAGGTTACAGTGAACTATGATTGTTCCACTGCACTCTGGCCTGGGTGACAGAGAAAGTACCTGTGTCAAACAAACAACAACAACAAAGAGTATAGAGTCAATTCCAAACAGAACCAGATACAATGACAAACTTCTGCCATCACTGAGGCAGGAAAAGTCTGTTAGAAATTGTATACCAAAACATGCCTAAGCACTAATAATTGCCACTGACTGAAGTACTGTCAATCATAGAAGAGCATATCTACTTATAATACTTGCTATCTCTATATTTTCACTCTCTCTCTTTTTTTTTTTTTTCAGACGTAATTTCACTCTTGTTGCCCAGGCTGGAGTGCAATGGCATGATCCTGGCTCACTGCAACCTCCAACTCCCAGGTTCAAGCGATTCTCCTGCCTTAGCCTCTGGGATTATAGGCATGTGCCAAAACGTCTGGCTAATTTTGTATTTTTCGTAGAGACGGGGTTTCACCATGTTGGTCAGGCTGGTCTCGAATTCCTGACCTCAGGCGATACACTCACCTTGGCCTTCCAAAGTGCTGGGATTACAGACGTGAGCCACCGCGCCTGGCCCTCTATATTTTTACTTTTAGTAAAACAATTTATTAAAATGTAATCCTAATCTTAGAGGATTAAAGACAATACCCAAATGTTTGGGTCAGCATTCATTTAAAAAGAAAAAGATTAGCAACTAGACTCCATTACCTATTAAAACCATTTCTCTTCTAGGTCAAGTCAAGCAATCACATACCACAGCATACCTTCAGGAGAGCACACTGCAGGAAGTTCGGAAAGGATAACCAACGCAGCTGAAACCAATCTACTTCCATCTTCTGACAGCATCTGTGGCTTCCTAGCTTTTACTCCTGGGCTACCTGTCAATTTAGGATTTAATTCTGGGAGCTGTCTAACTAGAATGCATACACACAATTCTAGTGTTGCAAAGACCAAAGACTTCCCAGGTACAAGTCCTCCGGTGTCCTTTCCCTCTCCAAACTCTGGCAGAGTTTCCTTTTCAGCAGCCCCATCATCAACTAAAAGACAGAAAGAACAGTGTTTAATAAATACTTTGTGCTTGCTTTGCTTCTGGTAGATGGCAATTTAGTTAAATCCTGTTACAGGAAATACATGTATTTTATTTTTTTGAGACTGAGTCTAACTCTGTCACCCGGTCTGGAGTGCAATGGCATGATCTCGGCTCACTGCAACCTCTGCCTTCCAGTTTCAAGCGATTCTCCTGCCTCAGCCTCCCGAGTAGCTGGGATTACAGGCATGCACCACCATGCCCGGCTAATTTTTGTATTTTCAGTAGAGATGAGGTTTCACCATGTTGGTCAGGCTGGTCTTGAACTCCTGACCTCAAGCTATCTGCCCGCCTCGGCCTCCCAAAGTGCCAGGATTACAGGTGTGAGCCACCGTGCCCGGCTCGGAAATATATTTAATGACTAAATTTTGGGTGTGAAAGACTAAGAGAGAAAGAAGTTATGAAGGGAAAAGTAATCATCTTTATTATGACTTCCTATTGCAATTGGTCAAAAGAAGTCTTTTTAATCCTGTCAGTCTTATAATATTGCCTGGTTAACTCCTTCTTGCTGTTAAGACTGTAAACCTGACAGCTAGAGCTCCAGAAGTTACCATGTGATCTTAGGTATCGATGGTGGCTGGACAGGAAGAAAGTCACGTCCTTAATGTCTTTAAGAAGGTGCCATATCAGCCCTAGACTATCTCTGGCCACCTATTTAGATGAGCAAATAAATCTTTGGGGTTTAAATCCACTGTTATATTGGGTTTTCTATAATATGTAGCCAACTATAATCTTAAGTGGTAAACTCTCCAATACCATATTAGACTTGTAAATGAGCAATCTGCAAACATAAGTTCTTTCCATGCACACTGGTAAACATAGCTAAAGCAAGTACTCGAGTAGTGTAAGGGATTTATTTCTTCCAGGTTTTGTTAAAATTCTCATTTCACCCAGAGAATAGCAGTTTAACTACTGACGATATCTAAACTAACATGCAGAGGTGAATGAGAGGATTTAAAACCATGCCAGGCTGGGCATGATGGCTCATGCCAGTAATCCCAGCACTCTGGAAGGCCAAGGTGAGTGGATTGCCTGAGTCTAGGAGTTCGAGAGACAAGGCTGGGCAACGTGGCCACATCCTGTATCTACTAAAAAATACAAAAAAATTAGCCAGGCATGGTGGCATGTGCCTGTAGTCCCAGCTACTCAGGAGGTTAAGGTGGGAGAATCACCTGAGCCTGGGAGGTCGAGGCTGCAGTGAGCCGAGATCATGCCACTGCACTCCAGTTTGGGCAACTGGAGTGAGACCTTGTCTCACTAAATAAATAAACAAGTAAATAAAGCCATGCTTAAAGACTCTACTTTCAGGGATCATTTCTATAGTTTATTACTAGGGAAGTTTCTCTGAATGTGCAGAGCACAAAAAGTAAAACAAGGCCATGCCTAGACATGTTTTATTTGTACTACACACAAATGATGATCAAAACTATAAAGATACATTAAACAATACTTTACAAAAGAATGATGCTATTTGATCAACTCGGCACTAAAGGTTAACATTTACCTTCTGCGCTTCGTCTTTTTTCCTTCACATGTTCTTGAGCAGCACAGATAATCTGCCTTACCACTTCAAGTGAAGCCAACTGAATGGAAGGTGATTCTCTGGTTAAAATTACTCGATGTAGAACATTCAGTAATTCTATACCCAAGTCCTATCATAGAAATCATGTAGAGGACACTGTATTAGAAATTATACATTTTTTTTTTGTAAAAAATACCAATGCTAAATGCCATGACAAAATTCAGAAAAAGAGAATGTAACAAATTGCTTTAGTGCAATAAAGTTAAGTAACACTTGCTCCATTTTAAATCAATGTCAGAGGCCAGGCACAGTGGCTCATGCTTGCAATCCCAGCACTTTGGGAGGCCGAGGTGGGTGGATTACTTGAGGCCAGGAGTTCGAGATCAAGCCTGGCCAACATGGTGAAACCCTGTCTCAACCTGATTAATGCTTTAAACCTAATAATAGCATTAAACACTTAAATAATAGACAGTCTATGCAGAAGAAATTATATTACTCACTTATCTCAACATCCAGGAGTCAGTAACAAAAGAAATATAGTAGATAAAACATGATATCAAAAGTATCTGCCCAATGCATACTTGCCCTTGAGAAAAGCAGTCAAAGGGAAGTACCATACTTTGTACAGGAACCCTTTTCCCATGGCCACACCCAAGTCAGATATTAGTGCCTGACTCCATCTAAAGATTAGCCAGCAATCTCTTAAAAAGACCTAGAGGGAGAACTCAGCCAACAAGAATACTTTGTAATGGACAGTAACTACATGAACCCATTAGATTCTCTCTTGGGGAATGGAATATAAGATACAGGTATATACACAAAGAGCAGGGTATGCAGAAGCAAAAAGACACAAAGAATAAATGCCACATGTAATTAGTGGCTACTGTCCTGGAGAATGCAATATAGAACTCTCCCATCATTGCAGAAAGCAGCAGAGACAGAAAAGTGGCAGAGTCAGAGGCATGATTGTTTCTGGGTCAACACATACGCTTATGGCATTCTGGTTCCAAGGCCTAGCTGTGTGGCCGTATGGTTTTAAAAAAAAATTTCTCTGTGTTTACTCTCTGTTAACTATAGAAACCAGAACATGTTTCTCTTCCTTAAAGTCTACAGAAGCCTTACAAAAAAAAAACCCCAGATAAATCACCTGATCACTGCCAATTTTTGATCTGGGCCAAGGTACATCTAGAAGGGCTTGCAATGCATGTAAACAAGCAGTTATGCTTTCCATGGTTGCATCTGAACGCAAGGAACATAGAAATTCCACGCTGATTCCTGTGGAAAGCAAAAAAAGAGGAGGAGGCTTCTTTCAAATTATTAGTTTATGAAATTAAGTAATTAATCTTATATTTCGGTAAGATATATAAACAAATAGTAAAAAGGTAATACAAATAAATCACAATGAATATAAGACTAAACAACTAAGACAAGTCACTTAATAGTTTGTTTCTATCTACATGTACAAGAAGAATAATCTATGCTGGGCGTGGTGGATCACCCGAGGTTGGGAGTTTCAAACCAGCCTAACATGGAGAAATCCCGTCTCGACTAAAAATACAAAATTAGCTGGGCATGGTGGCACATGCCTGTAATCCCAGCTATTCGGGAGGCTGAGGCAGGAGAATCGCTTGAACCCAGGAGGCAGAGGTTGTGGTGAGCTGAGACTGCTCCATTACACTCTGGCCTGGGCAACAAGAGCAAAACTCTTGTCTCAATTAAAAAAAAAAAAAAAAAAACCAAAAAACTAAACTAGGCCTGTGCACTAGTTGCTTAGTTGCTATGAAACAGTTCAAAGCTGCAAAAATTACAATAAAATTGCACCAGAAAACATATGGAGTTTTACAACTTTACTTTGGCTAAAATTTATTGGGTGATCATCACGTATCAGTCATTGTGCTTTGACATACATCTTTTTATTAAATTATCATAACAGTTGACAAAGTAGGCACTATTACTGACAATAATTCTGAGATAAATGAGCAGAGAGCTCTAGTAATTTATTTATATTTATATTTTTAATTGACAATAATTGTGAGCTTGAGTTGAAATCGTGCCAATGCACTCCAGCCTGGGCAAAAGAGTGAAACTCCATATA